GGAGGAGCTAGTGGAGAAAAGGGAAATAGTGAGCGGGAGGAGCTAGTGGAGAAAAGGGAAATAGTGAGAGGGAGGAGGTAGTGGAGAAAAGAGGAAGAGTGAGAGGGAGGTGGTAGTGGAGAAAAGAGGAAGAGTGAGAGGGAGGAGGGTGTGAGAGAAAAGAAAGGAGAAAGGGAGAGGGATAAAAAAGTGTAAATTGCATTTGTTGCCTATTCTTCTTCCAAAGGTCTGAATGGAGGAAGAGGATTGGTAGGATATTAATTGCCTCGACCTCTATATACGATGGTCAATTTGGTAGACTGCAAAGCAAGACTAACTCACCGAATACGAAACTCGTTTCACGCCCTCCAAAGAATTCATTGTTTTTCAAATTATTCTGACTTGTCTTGCTGCTGAAGAAAATGAATTGAGAGTATAAATTTCTGTTGTTTTTATTCCTATACGATTCCTCCGTACGTAGAATGAAAACGCAGAGATCATAAGATTTTGAAAGTAGTCGATCGCCAAAGGCGGGCCTGCGAACTCTTCGTTTTCGGAGCGACGTGTGGCGTCACGGATATTGGAGGAGGCCGCACCACTCATCTTCCACCGAACATAGCAGAGCTCAATTATTTACAAGACTGTAATGCTGGGACGTCCAGAAAAAAATTAGGGGTCTAGAGCAATAGATCTACGGGGACCTATTACATCAATCACCCCCCCCCCCGATACATAAACAGAATTAGATTCTCCACGCAAGAGAAATAACTTGAAGCAATTACTTTGAAATATAAATAAATACATTATGTATTTGAATGAAAAAGAATCGGGGCCCCCAATACTTTCCGAACTTGCTGGGTGTGTTGCCCGTGCTGTATTCCCTTCTGGGCTGTTGTGATGGGTTGGGAAACACAACCGAACATCCAAGATACGAATGCGTAGATGCGTTCGCGATTCGGGTCAGTTTCGCCCGACGCATCTCGTTTTAACGGACCGTTCGTGTTACGCGCCTTATCCGGGTAAACCCAAACGTTCTGTGATCACAGCCCCCGGGTAGAATTCTCACGAACCCATGTACTTGTTTCTGGGTACGTCAACTGCGAAGGTCATTAATCCCACCAGTGTTGTGAATGTGCTTGTTGAATATCGGTAGGTGGCGGTGTTCCCCCTCCACACGATGGAGATCTGGCGCCGACCTACACGTCGGCTAATGGTGAATCCGCTCTGGGTGTCTCACAAAGCGGGCACTGCCCCAGCCGGGGCAAGATCTAAGCTCCCAACTTAGCTTACGTCGAAAATCCTGATACAGTTGAGATCCGAACTCTATGTCCTCCCCAGAGTCGCTGCGCCAATCACGGAGGTTCCGTAAGCTTCTTGGGTTCATGACTAGACTGTACAGTTTTTAAATCGGCGATGGTGAAATTTGCATTACGCATGAGGCGCGGCACACCAGGTCACACTACAGCGGATTCTGGAGGGCAATAGGCCCCTTAACCATAACCCAAACTCCTAGTTTCATCCATTCCGAGAATTCGTGTCTCGAGGTTGTTCGAGTCTCGCGTGTTTAACACTTATCCGGCGGCGTCCACAATCACCCCGTTTTACCCGCCCAGGTTTCCCCTCATGCTAAATTCAATATCAGATACCATACCCGATTGATCACCGTATTCCCGAACAGTATTTCCGTATGTAGTGGTTATAGTGGGTCAAACACTAACCCGTACCATGATAAAAATTACGTGTCACCAAATCTCGCTCGAGTCGAGTTCACTCGTGGAGTTATGTCAACGGACACGTTTACCTGGAAGGGTAAAATCGTGTATATCCAACGAGATGGCCCGAGTCAAAATAAGTTGTAAATAAACAGTCAGTACAATGCAACTTCAATGTGAGTACAAAAAACGGGAATTTTACTCATCGGGACCCCAACTCCCCCACGTTGCGCGATCGGTGAACAAAAAACGAAAAACTAGTGGTGTGAACAGTGACATTGTTTCAGAGTTCAAGTAAGAATATTCCCATTTTAACTGAAGTATTTTTAACAAAGCGAGTTGAACACGCTCAAAATGTTTTATATTAATCGGTAAGCCAAAGATTAGAGACCGTCACCAACTAACACGCGCAGCGAAGAGTCAAATATAAATTTCGATAGGAAAGTGTTTTGGCACTAAATGTGTAGGACAAAATTTGGACGAAAAGGTTAAATGTCAATCGTCAAGGCTGGAGACTCGTCAGAATAAAATTAGACACGCATAGCGAAGCGTCCCTGCGCCTCACTAGTTTTAAGTTATGACGCCACTAAGCATGCCAGCCCGTGCCATTCCCCTCGTTGTCACGGAAGAGAGTATATTCTCTCTCGTTCGTTACAATATGGCAGAAGACTCCGAAAGTATTTTCAAAGTGCAAAACACTTTCCGAAGGCTCGATAATTCTATATTATCATCTTTTAATTTCTAGTCACTTTCAGTAGCAATGAAGGTTCACTACTTTGTAGTCAATTAACGGCATTAGTTTCCACTACAATAATTTTAACTTCAATTGTTTCAACTTCTTGAAGCTGAAGTGCATAACGAAGTGATACACATTACACATTACAACAGGTCTTCAGTTTTAAAAGGTTGGATCTACAGCTCAAAGTAAGTCAATCCGCATGGTTTATCCACACTCCTGCATTCAACAATCCGAACGTTTATTGCTGCTAGACACAGGGCTGCAGCTATTACGCCGCTCCTTTGCAGAATTAAGTTTTTAATTTCTTTGAAAAAAAAGAAGCTAATAGGTTTGGTTTCGGGAACACCAAGATATTCCCAAAATACACAAAATCCATCATCTTGAGCTTACGTTCTCGGATGAAGCAACAGCTTCGGTTAAAAATTCGTCTTCGCTTCAAATCAAGTAACTTCTAACGGGCGATTACTTGGGACGCGATTATCCAATCAGGAACTCCAATACCCAAAATCATGTCCACTTCCAAATGGATAACCGCGTCCAGATGATCAAAAGTCAGAAGTCGCTATTTAAATCCAAGTACTCTTCATGTCTTCTCTCTTTCGCAAGAGATTCATGAATTGGAGCAACAAGTACTTCTTATTGTTCAATACAAATAAACGGTAATGGTTGTGTTTTGCAACGATATCCCCTACAGAATTAATAAACACGTAAGGTGCATCGCCCAAGTGTTACAAATCGCATATTTGCAGTAACGGTCGCTCTCAGTTTTATACAGTGAATAACAAAATATAAGTTCAATAAGAGCACGATGTCAGAGAGAATTCACAATATAACTTGATAAAAGTTATGTTGATATTTATCTTTCATCAAGTGCGTTACAATAGAATTATTTCAATATCCACTAAATTCTTAAATCATCAATATTTCTTGTTTTCAGACACAGAGTACATAACACAATATATAATCAAATGTAACAAATCCAAATATTGAAACTAGTATGTACTAGTACCTACATACTAGTTTCTTTCACTGATTCTTAGCTTAAATTGGATTAGTTGGAGTTTAGAAATATTAACTATACTCCCAAACTGTACATTGGCATATTCTGATTATCCTGTCAATCGTAACGGAATTAGAATATTCACACAGTGCAAATAGGTCAAGACAACAAAACAAACCATTCAATCGCTTACAGGTTTGAAGTCAACAGAAGGCATTTCAATTGTGATGGCACAATTTGAAAAAGCTTATCCATTCTGGTCTTATTTTGGTAATATCATAAAGTATAACCTTCCAATCAATAAGATTCCACTTGCCTTACAAAAATAAGCAATAACAAATTACTGGCTCAACAAAACAAAACACATGGCAACATTCTCCTATTACTTTCTTACTGGAAGTTCCTCAGTCTTTCATCAGGCACAAAGAAACACACAATACATCTTTGTACTCACCTTCTGAGGAGACATGTTCCATTGAGGGTGCACCAGGCATGTGTTCCGATGAAGATTCTTCCGTTTTCATGTGAGCGACAGAAAAACCTAGAAAGTAAAAGAAGATTGGTCAGAAAATTTGGTACTTCATTTTTTTTATTTTTGGAACCAGGAATATTACTTTTCAAAAAGTGTAAGTCAACCTAGTGTAACATACAATTAAATAATACATAATACATAATTTCAAATACATTTTCAGTGTAACTCCTTCACAGTGCATTTGGTTATTTTCAAAGAAATTATTCAATTAGTAAGGCATGTCAGAAAAAGTTAAATGCAATTTCTTCTCCATCTTTCTGAGGTCCTGATGGAAAGCAAGGATGTCACTAAAGAACATAAACCACAATATTTCAATACGTCTAAATCACTAGAGTACGAAGTAGAAGTGAAACTTTTTAATAAACTACATTAGATCATGCCATCACATGAATGGGTCTTCATACAACGCATTTCACACAAAAATCAACGTTTGACCTAATACATTGCATAGTCTTTCGTCTTCTCTCCCGAACTGCAAATCCTCCAACATCTGACTAATCAAAAGAAATATTCTTTTGAATTACTTAGTTCTAAGAAGACAGCTCCCAGGATGACACCCATAAATGCCAAAATTTCATCAAAAAAATTATTGCCATTAATAGAGAAATAGAATTGCAACTTTAAAATCCAAACCCTATCACAATGAATCTAGACATAAGTCAACCTCACTGAGGATCACAAAAAGGATAAACTTAACTGCCATCACAAAATGAACCCACTCGAAACTCTCCCTAATCACATTATTCTTCCCAAAGTGGCACAAAAATGGTTTGTTTGTTTGTTTCTAAGATTAAAATTCAAATATGCCAGCTTTGGGTGCAAGCCATAATGCAAACAAGACTCCCTTGGAAAAAGTACAAGGTGGGTTACTAAAATATCTATAGTACCAATGTATGGAAAAATCCTGTTAGCTATCATGCTTCAAAAGATACCCTCTCTTGGAAGCTAGAACACTATGAACTGATCTGAATAAGTAATACTAGATTTTACATTACTGTTGTCCAACTCGACTCTTGAAAACCAGAAATTAGACTCAAGAATTAACACCAGAATAGAACGTTGGCCCGCGTTGCCTTGTACGGCTTTGAAGAATGTTTGCTTGTTACCCTGTACAGGCCAGGTATATCAGTATGTAGTCAGGACATTTATTATTGAAGAAGTCTAGAGAAACAAAGAGACATAAAAGGCATATCTGAAATTATTTAACGTGGGAAGTACACAAATTTAACCCGGATTTATACACAACAAAGCATAAATGTAAAAACGTATAAGTGGAATTTTACTGTAATTGTATACAACATACAAGTTCATTAATGCAACATTATGACCTATACTTATCACGAATGAGAAATTAATCTCCTTGTACCTCACACATACATGGATACAACTACTGAACTAATCTGCATCAATACCCTTGATGTTTTAATATCTGCAGGAAAAAGTGTGCCTAAAAGACCACATTTCTGAAGTGATGATCTCAGAAATGCTACTAACCTGCTGGTTAAATCAACAAAACTTATTTGTCACCTTTTCAAAATGTTGACAAATTTCGATCTTTCAATTTCGGTAATCACATTGATTTAAATCAACAAATTGCACCCAAACAAAATGGAAAAAAACTAGCTCACACAGCATCAAATCCAAAGAATTCTTTAAAATTAATTCCTTCCAAAATGTCTGCTATCAACCCGGCCAAACAATGAATAAAGAAATCTAACACAGCAACATAGCTCACATGCGTTAACAGTGACTGCATGGCCAATTGCACCAAAATGGTTAAATAGTTTGAAATACTAAAGCTGGAAAGCTTTACTTTAAGAATAATCTTGTACCATCTAAAAAGTATTTTCGATGAAAATTCACAAAGCTATGGCCATTTGAAAATTGTCCAACTCAGTTTTGATTTTTATAAACCAATTATTTTGGATAGAGCACCTGGGTATTACCCTGGACCTAATCTGGAACTACCTATTAAAATATAGAAAACAAATTGTAATTTAGAATTTCAGGGTTCACCAATGTATATGATGTTTACTGAGGATTAAAAACTCCATAAAAGACCAGGAAACCCAATGTACGAATATCTAGAATACAATGATATAATCTTGATTCTATTTATCCACTTTTTAGCTACATTGTTATGTATCTTGCCGACTATCATTACATAATTGACATTTAACCTACATCATCTTTCCCTCTTCTCTACTCATTACATTTGTCAGACACCTGATGTCCCAACAGCGACTGTAAAATGAGGGCTGAAATAGGCTACAGTTTTGTTTGAAATAAATTTTCACACCTGCAGAACATTCACAATTTTTGTTGATAAAATGACAAAGCAAATATTCATAATCCAGTTATTTTAGTTTCTCGCTAGCGCTAGTGCGGTAGTTGTGTGAAAAACGGCGAATTTTCGGCACAAAAAAATTATTACAGGGCCCTGGTAACGAAAAGGAGGTTAAATCCATAAGCTAAATATAAAAAAACCAACACATGAAGAAGCCAGAATACATACTCGATACCGAAAATTAACGGATAATGTCTGTCCGTCTGTGAATAATGCTAGCAGCTAAACCGTCCATTCGATTTTCTTCAAATTTGATATTCCCCAATGTGGCTGATGTCGCGGCCCCTTAAATTTGAAACCGAAATTTCAATTTTGGGGTGGTACTTTGCATGAACATTTGGGACATTTTCAAAATATGGCTTCATTGTTTTTGATTAAATTTTGTTGTTGGTTAGAGTAATGGACGTTTAAGAAAATGGTGCGGTCTCATTTTCGTATAAAACTAATTTTTCGAAAATTGCAAAAATTCAACAAAAATAGGTGGCTTCCTACAACTAAAGCATGATAGAGATTTTTCCCCATAACATAAATAAAGTAATTTACAAGTTTTTGAATATACGTATTTGTTTCGCAATTTCGTGGGAAATAAAGGTAGTTTTTAATTTTTGTTTAAACAATTTTTCTCAAAAACGGCTCCATTGTTTTTTATTAACATTATAGGATAATGTGAAGGATGTTTAGAGAGTAGCGCAGCTCACAAGTTCGTTGAAAACCCTAATTTTTCGAAAATTGAAAAAATTCAAAAGTCTTCCTTTAACTACAGTAGTAAAGATAGATTTTTTTAATGACATGAATTCATCAAAAACAGATCTTCAAATAAGAACATGTTTAATTTTTGGAAAAAGTAAGTACTTCTTGAGTAATTGGGCGTCAATAATAGACTGCTCCGAATTTTCTGCATTTCTTGAACGTTAAGACGGAGATGTAAGGCAGTTGGATGCTACGTGAGTTACAATTTCTTCATTATTTCATATACCTTGTTTCGTTTCTTACATTCGAGCACACATTTTAAAATTAATGTTTTAGAAATTATTTAAAACCAATTTAAAATTGCGTCTTTAATTAAACGAGTAGATTTCAATTTGCTTAACACGATGTGGGAATGAAGAGTAATGCATGTAATAGTAAAAAATTAGTAATTTTCGTGAATATGAAAATATTATATTTAACAATATTTTTCTATCTATTTTCATTTGCATGCTAGCGTTATGCTAGCAAGAATGCTAATTGGCAAAATGTGTATCCCATACGAATTAGCGGTCATTGTTGCTTGTTGCAACTCAATGTCTCACTGATAGAACAGAAAACGCGAATAAAGGCAGCCATCATTATCGCTATCTCATGTTTTGTTCGCGGCTGAAATACGTGTCGTGCATTCTTCGTTTATTTATGTAGAACGTGAACAAACTAAATACAATGGCAGAAAACTGCTTTCGTTCAAGCACTTCATTTTTATTTTTTTAAATATTTTTTTCACACTTTGTTTCAAAAGTTTTCAAATTGTAGTTGAAGTGTAAGAAATTGTAATACGAGGGTTGCCTTTTATATTTCAGGATTAGAGAACAAAAACAAATCTTAATCATCGAAAAATACTTTATTGTTTTTCAAAATATTCCCCATGAAGATCTACAAACATTTACATGCGTTTGAACCAATTGTCGAAGCACTTTTGCTACTCTGATTGAGGTATCTCCCAAACATGCATTCTGAATGCAGCACCCGCTTCATCAGGTGTCGAAAAACGTTGACCTCTCAGTTTGTTTTTTACGTACGGGAATTAAAAAAAGTAATTCGGTGCCAAGTCAGGACTATACTGCGGGTGACTCATCAAATCGATGTTTTGGGTGCTCAAAAATGCAATTGTTTGAGCCGATGTGAGAGAGCTCGAATTGTCGTGGTGAAGAGTGAACCATCTTCGGTGGTTGGTTTTCCTAATTTCTTGGAAGACAGATGGCAAACAAATCGTTATGTACCACTAAGAATTGACTGTTCTACGTTATTCTAGTAGTACGGCTGCGATATGTCTAGTTTTTTCGAAAAAACAGGCGACCATCTATTTGGAAGTGCTTCGTGCGCGAACAACTTTTGTTGGATTTTGATCATCTTGAAACACCCATCAGAGTGCGACTGGCTTGTTTACTTTCGGCCTCAAGCGTAAATCACGATTCATCACCTGTCACGATGTCATAGATATGTTTGAAGCACCGTGATCGATTTTTGAGCATTTCTTTCGACCCAATCGACAAGAGCCTTTTTTTTGAGCGATTGACAAATTGTGTGGGATCCAACGCGAACAATTTTTTTTGACAGTCAAATGTTCATGCAATATTGAATGTATGCTGGTCCCACTAATGCCTAAGGTTGTCTCAATCTCACAATAGTCACATGATCTTGCAATACTAGTTCACGCACAGCATTAATGGTTTTCGGAACAACTCATTTTGGACGACCTTCGCGAAATTCGTCTTGGAGTGAATACGACCACGATTGAATTCACCATACCGATCGATAAACACTTGGTCCTTGCGGAGCTTTACCGCCAAAAATTGAATTAAGTTTCATCCATGCACTGTTGCCGAGTTAATCCACGTCGAAAATTGTAATAAATAATCGCACTAAAATGTTCACGACGATTTAATCAGCATTTTGGGGCAAGATGAAT